ATTTGAATTTTGAATTTCTATTTGCAATTGAAGAAAAACAACAGTACGAGGTTTTGTAGTCTTTTTTATTGTAAGCACGAACTTCTGTTTTAAACAGGCCCTCATACTCTTCATCAAGAGTTTTATGGTTTACTGACATCTTTTTTGAAATTCTTGACAGACTAAGAATGATTTTAATTTATAATACGTAAAAAACTTTGTTTTATCATAAATGAACTTATTCAAATAAGGAGGAAATAATTAATTCATATTTAAAAAGTAAAATTTTAATTTATAATAGGTATGTATAGTATTTTTAATTGTGACAAAGCTTAATTATATGACTTAAAAGAAAATGTCTATTTATATATTGTTTGATTTTTTGATTTGGCAGAATATAATTATTAACTGTTAATTCTAAACAAATTGAGGCTTCTAAATGAATTTAAAGTAGAAATTCAATTTTTGTTGTGGGCTCTTAAACATGCTGCTTAATTATTATGAATTCAATTGATAAAATCTTTATTAAATACATAGAAAACATTACTAACCAATTTGATGTCAAATACAATACATGTTTCTGTTACGTCTACAATTCACTAATTAAAAGAAGGCAGAAAACCTACAAAGTAATAATTAAATTATTAATCATTGTATTGGTAAATGACTAATCAGAAATTTACATTCCCCTCGATAATTATTTCAATTGAGATAAAAACAATTCAGTTTAATTACAGTAATTGCAACTTTGAAAGTGCTTCTAATATTGTATAAAATTTTTTAAAGCATGTCAATTTTAGGATTACATATTATAGATTTAATGGTGCAAGAATATTCGAATAACCAAATTAATTTTTTAAAATTACTTTGTATCTTTTTTGAGCAAAATGTACACTTAATTGCTAGTGATGAGAATCAATATATTTGCACAAGATGCAAATATGAATTAATGAAATGCATAAGATGAAAAAAAATGAATGAAGCAATGTTTCCAACAAAATTAGCATTTGGGGAGTGCCAGTATAAACCAAGCAAATTGTTTCTAAATACTGCATTAACTATTGTATTGTATAATTATCCGAACAAAAAGTTTAACGCTGAAAGCATTAAACTTTGAATATTTATATATACAGTATATGTAATCGAATTTTTGTATTGGGTATGTTATTGATTTTTTTAATTAAAAATTGATATTGGTATGCAATACTTTAAAAAGACTTTAACCTCACACTTTTTTCAAAAACATAAAATTTTCCCATTTTCTAATTTAAAGTCAGGATATGAATGAAAAGGAGCATTCGGACTTTTTTAGGCTCATTGATAAATACCAAAAAAAAACAATATGACGTAGCTTTTTCTGTTTTTAAAGATCTAATGACAGATCAATATTATTCGAATGCTAATGATGAAAATGAAAGTAAAATTAAAATCTACGTTCAAGCTACATATTATTCAGCACTTTGTTATTTTCATGGACGTGGTGTAAAACAAAATAAAGATTATGCTTTAAGCATCACAAATAATTTAAAAGATAGTGAAGCTGTTTGCAATATTTATCAAGAACTGATTGAAGTTGATGAGTTAAAATTGACAGCATTAATTAAGATGGCAAAATGCTATAACAAAGCAATTATTAAAAGAGAAAATCTAGCTTTTAAAATAGCATTAGAACTTTATAGTAAAAAAAAATATAAAGAGTCATTTGATATTTTTTCCAAACTTAGTTCTTGTAATAATGATGAAATTAAATTTCTTGCCACATGTTTTATAATATCTTTCTATATTTCTGGATATAATAATATCAAAAATATGCATCTGGGCTGATATGATGCATTGCTCGATCATTTGATATGTGATAAAATCAAAACAATAATCACATCAATTTAATAAAGCAAAAACTTCATTTTCGTGATATAGTAGATTGTATTGTTATACAAACGAATATCACTTTTTAAAATGAATTTTTAAAATCTAACTCTTACAAAAAAATTTTGATATCAAACCACAAATTTGAATTGATATTTTCTTTTAATGCATCATTTGGTAACCATAACTTTTGAGAGATTTCAAGGCAACGTTGGTTTCAAAATATTATAATATCATATGATTTATTTTTAATGATAACGTAATAGGTTATTTTTTAATACATTGATTAATAAAGTTTCTTGTACTTACTTTTACGTAGTGATTCTTTTCTCTTTTGAATTAATCTGTAATATTGATTCAGATGATTCTTTGAAAAATTCATTTTCATTATTTCAAAACATTTATGAGATAATATAGTAAAAAATTCTTTATTTATTAAAGCTCTAAAAATAATGTTTGCCTTTTTGAACATCATGATTAAAAGAATATTTTTATAACATGCCAAACATTTAGTAGAAAAGAATAAGGCTATTAATATCGATACTTACCTAAACATGTGACTTATCTAAACATGTGACTTATTTCAGCATCCACCGATGCTGAAATACTATGACATGTGGCTTTAGCTTTCATATAATAGTATTCAGTTTTTTGATTGCATCACGATTAGGTATTACAGTATAAAAAATTGTGTTGCAAGCAAATAGTACTGAAAAAGTATGAAATCACTATTATTCATGTAACTATTCAATAGTTAAAATAATACATATTGATATAGTCAATCAGTTTACTTAAGTTTATAAATACGATTGAAATGTGAAATATCAGTTTACTATTTCTCTTTTGAAAAGAGCTTTCTCTAATTTAAAATAATGAGTTATTATAAACCAAATACTATATATGAAAAAATATAAAAAGCATGATCATTATTTCAGAAACTGTCCGGAAAAAAAATGCAAAAAATGTAAAAAATGTTATAAACTGGGACATATTGCGGTGGACTGAAAAAGGATGGAATGAAAAACGTGATGCAAGTGCAAAAGTCATGGTTATTAATTCAGAAGTTGTCCGAAAAATGAATGTAAAAAATGTCATGAAACCTATGGTGATTTTGTTAGAAAACCTCGACACAGCGTTGTCACTTTACTATGTCCAGTGTCTATAAGTTACTGGACTGGACTGTATTGAACTTATTAAATTACTATGTCCAGTAGTCCAGTGGCACAGTACAGGAATATGTCCAGTGTAGTCCAGTTGACAACATTGCCTTGTAGGGTTGGGGGCATGGGTAAAAAAATAGGCATGCCTCGGTGGGGATACCTTGGCTTGAGGCATGCCCTTAGGGCATGTCTCATATAGTCACATGATTAAATATTAACCAATCAAAATCGTTCAAAATTATTACTAAAAATAAGAAACTTTTATTTACTATGCATGATATAAGGCTATACAAATAAAATTATCGTAAAGTGTTGAAAATAAACACAGCATACTTTTTCCAGTTTCAGATTAGCAGAACTGCAATAAGATCTTTAATCAAGTTATCACCGTTAATCTAAGATTGAAAAAGGTAGGGTAGAGGGTGCTGTGCTTATTTTCAATACTTTACGGTAATTGTTTTTCATAACATATTAATATTAAAGAACATTCGGGATTCGGATGCTATTGAATAAATACAAGTGATTCTCGATATAAGAAATATTCAATATAAGAAAGACTAATTAAACTCTCAAAAGTCAAGCCAAAACCAGTTTATAAGAAATTTACTTGATATAAAATAAACTTTTAATATACTGTAAGGATTTGTAAAATTTTTACTAAAGATTCGACTACCTTTTTATATACAAGGTATTTGACAATACATATTTATTTATTTATTTTTTATTTTTTAATTTTATTTTTTAATTTTTTTATTTTCTTTTATTTTTTTTTTATTTTCAATTTATTATTTATTTCTAAATTTTCTTTTGTACTTTACAATTTTTATTAGTTATTTATTTATTTATTTCTTTCTTTCTTTCTTTTCAACACTTATATTAATAACTATTTCCTCATATTTATCCTCATATTTATAAACCAAAAATAAAATACAAAATGAAATTAAAGTAAATATTTATTAATTATACTTACAATAATAAGTATTCTCCTAAAAAAAAGAAATATTTAATATTTATGAATTTAAATGACTTATTTTAAAAATTAGTATTGCTATTTGATTTTAATCAATGATTTTGCTAGCCTATATCATGTGATTTGGACATGCCTTTTGCTTTTTGGCATGCCCATAGGCATGCCTATGCCTTTGTGCCCCAAACCCTACTGCCTTGACACATCAATTATTTTTGAATCAGTGCTTGTTACTTGTGAGTTCCAACTTTATGAATTAGCCAAATTCCGTATTATAGTAAAAATATCCAAGTTATGTATTTGTATTTTATTTAACTTCCTGAAAACACGTTAATATCACCAGTGATGTTACTGGAAGCCCACTGGAAATAAAATTAATAGTGTCACTGGAACATTTACTATTGCGGAAAGCCAGAAATTTCCAACTAGAAGGCAAATTTAACATCAATGAATATCACTTATCGAATGAGGCAATTTACAAATGGAAGAAATAAAATTTGGAATCATGTTATCAAGTGGGGGAGTTATCAAGTGGGGATTACTCAAAATCCAGACTTACCATCCGATTCTAAATATTGATCTTGTGAAAATTTTCCTATCAAGGCTACTTTACAAACAGCTTACCTTTTATAGATATTTTAAATGTCTGGTGATGATATTTATAACAAAGTATATAAACAAATTCTTGATAAAAACCTTTGGAAAGATCTAGACATTACTAACAAGAGCAACTGAACTATTCTCAACAGTTATTAATGTACTGCTGAAATTGCTTCATGAATTGATAAAAAATTTGATAAATATTCCATAGCAAGTAATACTTATTGAATATCAATTACTTATTCGTGGAAGCATGGGCATTGTATTCTTTTTTATTTTTACAATATGACACAGTCATATATATTATTATTTTTTTTTTGATTGACAACTAGAGGGGCGATCCATTTAAATATTTATACATAAACTCTAACAATAGCTAGGTTTAGAATTGTTAAATTTTGATATTAGAACAATAATAAAAACAATTTGCTAAAACTATAAAAGAGTATAAATTTGTTGTTTAATTAGCCTCATCTTTTCTTTATTTCGAAAACGCAAGGGCCGTTATGGTAATTAACAATAATTCAGCAGCAACTGAACTATTCGGTCCAGAAAAAAAATACTTAAAATGAGCACAACAAAGATAAATAAGTGATGTATGTTTTTGAAATAATAGATTTAATCCCTTTGAACATTTTCTTTTAGGACTATATTTGTAATTTGGGAATAAATTACCATGAACCCTTTTTGCAATTTCAGACACTTTATCGTAAATCGTTTTTATTTCATAAACGTTAATGTTTTTCCATAATTTGAAATTACAAAGTTCACCTCGCCATAACTTACTGGTGATTTGTGAAATTTCTTTTATATTGCGTTCTGTTGATTTAGGTAAATCCAATAAGCTGTAAAGTCTCTTCAAAAAATTACGAAACTGTTTTGTGCTCTTGGTGGATTAAATTTAGTTTTTTTTCTTCTGCTGCTATTGGGATAAATTAGTTCACATAAAGAAAGAAAGGTTTTGATCCTATGGCATTAAATTCATCAATTTCTTCAGGTTTTGTAAAAATGTTATTAATTTCTTTACATCATAATGACATTATTAAAAAGTGTCAGAACGCAATCAAAATACTGAAGATTTATATATATATAGATCATAGTCACCAAAACTCTCATCTTAATAAATGTTTTAGTAACGCCACTAGTTTACGTAAATGATATTACTAAATGATCAGAAAATTTATTGTAATGTTAAGAACTAAAGAACTAAAGGACTAAATATTTAGATTGGTACAGTGGGTTGCTGCAAATAGGAATTTTTGATACATGTCTGATATCCTTGTTTTACCAAATAATAAACATTCTCATTTTCATGAACCACGTAAACATTCGTTCAATGAAGGCATTTTTAATCAAATTTAACTTGTGAGCCTTTCGTATAAGCCAAGATCCTGGTTTAGAATTATTTCTCAGAGATCAAATATTATTATTAGAATAAAAAAGTTAATACTTGATAATTATTTTACTTTTCTGTTAGCGAAGTCGACATTCCACGCGACATAATAATATGGGATCAGCAAGTAACGAATCGATCTGGAAAAGAAAAACAAAATCCTTGACACATTTTTTACTGGTGAGTTTGGGTAGCTCCCATTTCTTACTTAACATGTATAGGTTGAAGTTACGCTATCACTTAAGTGAACGTTATAGTCATGGTATACTCTACATATTGTCAGCCGGATAATATGTAACTATCATGATGATGTCACTGAAAGACGTGGGCAACCCCCATGTTTGTGATGAATAGATCTTTGTGTTAATGATTTTTCACTATTTTTGTTAGTCTTTTATAATCCCTCAAGAGCGAACAAATTGTTGGAAGAATGCGCCATACGTTGGTCGGATCACTAGGCCTCGGTATGATTAATACTGAAACTACAAGAAATCAAAAAATTATTTCGTTTACAAGGAGAGTCGTTGGAAGAAGATTCGGAAAAGAAATAAAAAAACACACAAATTTGATTTTCTATTTACAACTCGCATCCCATATAATTCTTTGGTTAACAAATCTATCACTATCTCCAAAGCCACCCTTTCCAATTCTCTATATGTACTATCTCCTATGTTTTGATTGAAATATGCTTTACACTCCTCCAAATCCGCATAATTTAATAATAATATCACTCCCGCCATCTCGACTTTTTCTAAAATAATAGATAAAAATTGAGTATGATTCATAATTGTATATAGCTGGGGCCAGCATGTATCTTATTCATCAATTGATCCCCGAG